TATAACGAATCAATAAAGATCCAACCAATATATATATAACTTATATATATATTTTCATTTCTCCCTTTGCATTTATATAATACATATTCCTTTTTATATAAGCAAAAATTGATTTATTCTTAAGATGGTATGGTACATTATAGACTATTAAATGTCTCAAAAATAACCCCCTTTTTAATGCAATTTTCATAATTAATGAATAAGTTGTATTTTCTTATTGATGTTATCATTTAAAAAAAAAATAATTTTATTGAACAAATTTATTTGTGCTAATATTTTAATATATATTATTTATGAGAAATATGATATTATAAGTTAGTACGATTCACTAATGTGTTAACATGGGAATAATTATATAAATATATCTGTCTATTCTATATACTTAATGTTGTCTAATATGTGTATTATATATATTAAATAAATATTAGATTTATATAGATAATTATGTCCTACTATTTAATTGGAGTTAACCAACATTGTTCATAATTAAACTAAAGTAATATATTTTCATTATAACATGGAATGTATAATGCTTTATCTTGGGTGACCTTATATGTTACTATTAATAAATTTATTTTGTGATATGGTTCATTTATGCGATTCTTTATTATGTACAGCATTTTTAGGATTTATTTCAGTCTAAACAATTATATTAAAATATATATTAATTTTTGTCTGTATGTAATCATTTTTATAATTTATTTTATGTATTAGTCAATGTCACTTACATTTATTTGTTACTATAGCGACTTTTTTAAGATTATTCTACTGTGATATATAATATATTGTGTTTATTTCGAATTATATTTTTTTGTGAGTCTTCAAATAAATTCATTAATTCGTAATGTTTTTTATTTTTTTTATTCCACCTACTTTTTAACTTTCTTCTTTCTCGTCGTAAGTATGAACCATAAGCCGTATACCGACAAATAAGAAAAAATATAATATATCTATGAAGAATGCATTAATTGTATATTATATATTTATTATAAAATATGTTATAAATGTTTGCTCAGTAAATATTTAATTAATTAAATTTATTTTTAACATTATACACGATGAATATAATTATTAATATTGCAAAAAATAAAACACCCGTGCTTGTCCACGTCACTGGAGATGGAATATCGTCTGATAATGCTCCTGACGCAGGCATTGTTTCTTCTATAATCAATTTTCTTTCTACATTTCCTAAGGAAGAATTCCATAATTCATTTGTATCTTCGCATGTAGATACTTTTAACAAATATTTATGAAAATTTATTTTAAGTTTGTGCATTTATTGCTGAATACTCTTATTACACTTTCTTTTTTCTATATTTATAAGTTCCTCATATTTTTTTACACATGATACAATGTAAGAGCAATTATTACTGTCTTTTTGAAAATATTTAAAATAACCATATAATTCATCAAACATTTCGAATATTTTATATATATCGTCATTCATTTTTAATACATATTCTTTACATACACCAAGTCCTGTTACGCTTACATTATTATATTCATTTATCATTTTATCGTGAAGCTGATCAAACCTTTCAATGTACTTAGGATCTTTTTTCCTTACTAATTGTTTTAGTGCGTAGATAAAAAAATTACAATAAGGTTTTCTAACATGTTCACTATAATCCACTATTTTATACAAATAAAGATCAAGATCTAGACAGTTTGTTGCCAAATTATAATCAGGAAATCCATTTTGTCGATGGGTTCTATTAAAATTATTGCAATCCGTTTCTAATTTACTCTTTATACCTTTATTAATCCCTTTGTAAAGAATATTATAATAGAGTTCTCGACATATGGGAAATACATCCTTATAGGATAACTAATATTGAAATTTATAGGGTATACAAATGTTTTATATTTACAAGAAAAATATATAGGTTTGGTTTTCATAAATAGGACAATTTTAAAATGTAGTAATATGAATAATATTTTTAATAATATGTAGAAACATACTTAAGCATTAGATACATGTTTTGTAACCATTATATATTCTAATTAATATTAAAATAAAATTATTTTTATTATTATAAATTATAGAGTGCTAAAAGTAGTAGAATTAATATTATATTGATATTACATGTATTATTCTTATTAAAATATAAATATAATAAACGATTAAAATTTTCTTTTTTATATATTATAATTTTATAGTAGAATTGTTCTTATTATGTAGAACACTCTGTGTTCATATTTAGGATTCAGTGTTAAAATTTTAGGGTTTCTGTTTTAGGTATTATGATTTGTTTTATTTATTATATTATTCCGGATCATGTTTTATATATTTATATTCAGTGTCATGAAAGGTGTATATAAGCTTTCTATATCCTTATATATTGTAATTATTATTTATTATTTTTGAAAAAACATAAGGAGTAAATGTATTACATAAATTTTCTTATTAATGTATTAAATATTAATAGACATTTCTTATTTATATTATTTCTCTTTATATATAATTTGTGTAAATGTTCTTTCCATAAAAGTTATTGATTATTATATATAATATTTTTAATTATAACATAAAATAATACTAAGTATGATATTTACACACATAGAATTAATTATTTTTATATTTTATTAAAATAATTGTCCCAGTTAATTCTCCACATTTCAGATTTATTATATCACTTCATTTTGACTTTTTCATTAAACTCATTTTAATGTTTTATACTTTATTTAAAGAATATATATTTCTAATCCCCTAAATGATATACTTTTGAATTATTATTGCTCAAATAATTAGGTGAAAAAATTAAATAAGGTATTTGCATTTACATAATAACACATATTTATTTATGCAAAAATATATGTATGTATATTTGTTTGTTTATATAATTTTATTATATCGTTTAATATAAATTAATAAATATATTTACATTATTGTCCTAAAAAAACAATATCACTATTTATAGTTATATATATTCCATTCATTATTTATATATATATAAAAAATGTACTTTTTTCGTAAAGGCATGAGTGGTAAATTTTGTAAGTATATACTGATTTATGCAATAAAATGTTCCTTGAATATAATTATATATTTCATTTTTTATATATATTGATGTAAAAAATATACGTAAAAATTTATTATTACTATAAAATAGATATTTTTACGTGAGGTATGTAATTATTTTGATTTATAGTATGATTAGATATAAACTATAAATTAACGATAAAACACCATTTATACAGTACAAAAATAATAACTTTATATGTAACATTTAAACCTTAAGAGAATTGAACATATTTTTTATGTTTTAAAATTCAAAATGGTGTTATATAACATTTTTTTGATAAAATATGTATTTTGTTATATAATTATTTTTTTTTCGATATACATGTACACTGGGTATATTTTGAATATATATATTATTTTTTGTTAAAAAATAAACTACTATTTCATTAATATATCCTCCAAAGAATTCAACAAATAATGTTATATTAATATTTATATATATTGTGAAATATTATTTATAACGTATATTATTTTATAAAGGAAACATGTATATATAAATTGAATACATTTTTTTTTTTTATCGTTTTTATAAACTAAATCTTTTTACCTGATATGTTATTTCTTTTTATATAAGGTAATTCAAAAATTTATAAATATAATATATTTAATTTTTAATAACAATAAAATTTTGAATGTTTTTAAGGAGTTACTATAATTTTATTGAATCTCTATATATTCTTAGACATGTATAATTCGGAATAAATGATATATGAAAAGGACCATATATAAATGTATTAATATATAATTTGTACTGATTTTCATATAACAAAATATAAAAAATATTTTCAAACAGTTTTCACATGATTATGGGAATCTACACTACAATATATAAAATAAGCTCTTTTTTTATAGGTACATAATTTTTGAATTGTAAAAAAGTAAAAGGCAATTTCTTTAGTGATTTAACCTCTTCTATGAAATTTTTTTTTCACATAATAAAAGTATTATTTAATCAAGCACAGTACATAACGTCCATAAAAGTTTAAATAGTTATAAATAATATATTTTTAAGATTTATTTTTTATTTCTTGAATACTCTCATTAGAATAATAAACCTATTTTTCTTTGGAATTATGAGCTTATATTATTTATACTCAACTAAATAACGAGTTCATATTTGATAATATATAACTCGTATGCTGATAAAATATGATTTAGAACATTTTAATGATTATATTCTATATAAATTACAGACATAATTATTCTGTATTCAACGGTATACATTTTTATATTAATAAATGTTGTGAATTATTAAATTATAAAAAAAAGAAAAAACAAAATAAATAAAATTTGTGTTCATAATTGTGTAAAGCTACTTTTAATCAACATTAATACGGGTTATATAATTATTTTTGTAACCGAATTTAAACCCCCAAATTTCCTTTATTTATCCGAATAGGCAACCCGAGAATCTGATGCTGAATTTTAAATATATGTATACACTGCATTGTCTATATTTTTTATGTTATTATATTTATGTATTTTAAAATAATTTCTTGAAGATAATTTATTGCTTAATATTTACAACATATACTTTTATGTCAATAAAAAGTTTTTAGTCTTTAATTATATTTGTCCTTTTTTTTTGTACACGACATTAAGGCATGTTTAATGTATTTATTATATATGTTCATACAAAGACCTATATGAAAATAATATATTTGCCAAAACTAGTGTATAAATATGTATTAAATGGTTATTTATTATTAGGTATAAAAATTTTTTTTTTGATTATTTTTTTTCTACAGTAAATCGAAAAGAAACTCATTTGAAATTCATGGAACTGATGAATGTTATAAATTAAAAGATATATAATTATTTATTCTTTCATAAACTAATAATATAAACTGACATGGATCCATTATTACTTAAATACCACATACTATATTTATTCTAATGGTATAGAATGAATTTATAGTAGAGAATGTTATCTATGCAAAAAAAAATATCTAATTTATTTTGTAGTATTAGCATACAAAGTATTCACATAATATTAAATGACTTACACAATTTGAAACCATGATTATAAGATTACATATTTATTCTATAAATATATATATTTATTTACTTTTACCATTTAATAAATTATACAAGATAGAGTGGTATATTCATAATTTAGAGCACTATCCCTAATATAATGAGAATAAAATTAAAATTAATTTATACATATAATTATTTTAAATAAAAAATNNATATTTTTATATTAATAATAATTAGGGCTAAACAAAATATATGTTTAAACAATATTTCTAATTATTAAAATATATATTTATTGAATGATATAACCCATAAATGGCAATTTTTAAATATAATAAACAGTGATATTGATAATATTTTTTAATGTATTTATGGTATTATATGTTAAATGTGGAATGATTATTTTGTTTTGTATTTATATCGATCCTTCTTATTATTTTCTATCAAAAGGTTCTATATATGTAAATAACATAAAATGTATGGGAATATTTTAATAATAGTTCAGTTTTCAATATGAATATAAGAGAATTTATTTTTGTTTTTACACTAGTTAGAAGTTTCTATGCTAGATATAAATATATTTCACTGATAATATGCATTGGTTATTAATATATAAATAACAAAATTCACCATTTGTTTGATGTACATCATTCATATTTTATACATTAATGTGATACATATAATTTGTTTCAGTATATATATATTTCATTCTTTTATTACTTATATTATTATATTTCTTGTTTTAATTAGTTATAGAAAAAAATCTTAAATTTTATAAATAAATATTATGAACACAGTTCATCTTCCAAATTTTATTACATCTATTATTAGATTAGAATTAATAATAAATAATAATTGTCATTTATGGTTATATATTATTATATGTTTTTACAATATTTATACCACGAAAATTTTTATGTATTATTGGGAAATATTTAAAAATTTATATTTCATTTATTATCATGCATTATAAAGGGATTATAATTTTTTCATTATATTATCATTATATATAAAAATTTATTCAATTTATTTTTTTTTTTCTACTTGTTTTTGTAAAATAATGATTCATTTAATTTTATTCTGTAAATGAATGTATGTTGAATTTTTTAGTATCAATTATATGTTCTTTATTTGTAGCCTATGTAGTTCCATCCTATTCCGTATTTATTATGAAATAAATCATTGTGAGAGAATTCAGATGAATCCATTATGTTGAGATGATCTTTATTTTTATTATTCCATATATTCCTTATCTTACTTACTGTTGGTTGTAAAAATGAACCCAATGGTGTATACTGGTAATGTAGGAACAATTTGATATATACAAGTCTACAATATATTTTATGTAAAATATCATAATTATGTATAATGTAAATTTTAAAGAAATTATGCATAAATTAATTAATTTTATATTTAACCTTATATAGAAAGAATGTTATCATTAATACTGTAAATAACATAATAATTAAAGTTAATATAACGGTAGGTGTATTTGTAAAATATGCGTGATATGGAATTGCAGGTAATTCTTTTTCTTCTATTATTTGTTCCATATTTTTTATTTTTTGCTCCATAATATTTATATTTTGCATCATATTTTCTATATTTTTCTGCATAAAATTATTTAACAATACACAAAAACTGTCGTTTTTGGCGGATATACACATTTTTGATAATTCCTTGTACTTATTAAAACAATCAGTATTTAATGGGCATATATTACCATTCATTATAAAGTATAAATATAGTTCATTCAAATGCTTCAATACAGAATATATATCCTCATCAATATCTTCAAAATATGTGATGCACACATCAGAAACTTTCTTAACATCTCCTGTTTTGGTTAGTTCAATCATTTTTTTGTAAGCTTCTTTACTGTTCTTCATATCGCATTTACTATCTGTTAGTACACCTTTTAGAAGATAGTTGAAATAGTTACAACTTCGTTTTTTGTCAGAGGATTTCGTATGTTCTATGTAGTCTAAATAGTGTATAAGTCGTTTACAATCACTTTTAAAAAAATTCACAAGATAGGATGCATTCAAAGATGTTTGAATGGTAGTACATGATACTTCAAGTTTAGGATCTACTAGATTTCCTGCATTCCTTGCCTGCTTATCATAATCAAGCATAGAGGTGGAAAATATATCCTCGAAAATGTACTAAAAATAATGTCATAATAAATATATAAGATAAAAATAATATTTATTAGAATATATTTTTTTCTATGTATATATATATACGTAATAAATATAAAATTATATAATGTAAATTGTAATTGACATTAATAGTAGGAACTTACGTCAGGTGTGATATTATTTGGGGGAGCCATTGTGATATTTTATGTAAATTAAACAAAATACGGTTTATATTCATGTAATTATAATTATTCATGCTAAATGTATTATACTACATTCTATATTTATATAAAACTATTTTTATGAATTTATATTTTTATTTGATTCTTCTTTTATAGTAGAATATAATTAAATAATCACTTCTGGATAAGGAAATCAATTATTTATATGATAATATAATATGGAAAAAACATTAATAACTCGGAAATTAAATAAAAATGTAGAATGATAAGGAAATATATATTTTATTTCTATTATATAAATATTACTCATACAATAAATTAGTCTCTTAATATAATAAACTATAAATTATATATTTTAATATAACCGATATTTATCTCATAACATATATATACATGCCTCTTTCTTGAATTAAACTACTGGAAATAAATAGACGTAGATAAAAAAACTTATTTTTATAAGATAAATATATAAATATTTAGTTAAAACTTTATATTCATATTTTATAATAAAATATATATAGTTTGTAATTTAATATACATAGTAAAAAATCATATAATATTTATAAATAAAAATGTCAGTATAGTATTATTCATAAATTAAATGATAAATGATAGAAATAATATTGTTCAAAGATATAAAAGTCACATTAACTTATGCTGAGAAGGAATATAAATATTATCGTTATAAGTCATTTAAATATTATAGTGATATGTTATATATTTAAGAACGTATTATTTTTTATTCATTGATTTTTCATTTCAATAATAACTTATATAAATGATACATCACCTTATAAAATTTAATTATTGCTACATATATTATATATAAATTGAACATAAGCAATATGTTTATGATTCAATATTATATATAACAATTAATATGGGTAAAAGACACAATTAATTTATCATTAAAATGTATATATATATATTTCGACAATTATAATATGCATAAAGCAAATATATATATAATTATAAATATATATTTCTGAAAAAATAAGACAAAATATTTTCCATATATATCTAATGTAGACTAAATTACGAACTATATGTAATACCTATAATTCTTTTTGTTTTTTTAATGCTTTAACAGATGTATTTTTGAAGAATATATTTTTTAGTAAAAATACAACAATATACAACACAAAATATAAACCATGAAATCGAATTAATTTATATGATTTTTTGATGCTCATAACTCAAAGATAAATTATATTTAATAAAATGTGGAACAATTTTTTATCCTTTTTATTTTTTTGATATATTATAAATAATATTTATATTTGCTTTATATTATTAAATATATATATAGAATTTTAAATAATAAAATAATTAAAATATATATACTATCCAAAAAAAAAAAGGGTTAAGTATAAAATTTTTTTTTTGAATATTAGAAGACACAATACAAAAAGGTATTCCTGTTGTGTGCATTTCATATATTGATGAACTTTTTTTTTAAAATTATGTGATTAATATATAAAGCGAAAGGAACAAATATTTTAGATGAAAAAAAATAACATATATTAAATTTATTTTTTATTATAAACTCTAAATGGATAAATTATTTACGTATTACAAGATATATAGTACATATTATATATTGTAATTAAAGATTTTATATTATATAATTATGAAAAAACATTTATATTTATTGCATGAATAATTTGTATTCGATTCACATTTGGATGAAAAATCTGTATTAATTATATGTTTTATTTTAATATAAATGTTATATATAATTATACTTTACAATATCAGTACATAAATATTTTATTATGTTTTTTTATTTTTATTTTATAATATTTAAATAAACTATGAATTCATTACAGTACATTTTTAGTAAAAAATAATAATACATTGTTATTGTATAGAATAAATATATTACACAATTAAATATAGTACTTTTATATATTTATCTTAATAATTCAGATAAAATTATGAAATATGGAAAGATAATGGGATATGACACCTCATACACGCGGCATCATTTTCTTTACAGTAATAGTTATTCGAAATATTCTTTAATGAAATAATATAAAAATTAATACTTATATAATGATTATTCTTATTATAATAGAAATCTATGTTATCATAAAAACATATAAATCTTATAATATTATATTCATAATGTTATTTTGCATAGTATATCATTTTTAACATTATATATGTGTTCCTATAAAATATTATCAAATAATTTTTTTGTAATATATCTTTTAACATTAAGATGAATATAATAATATATTCACTTATTTAATACGTAAGAATATACAAAAACAGAAATAATATTTAATAAATCTGATTTATAATCTTGTTCAGATTATCTCATTTTTTTTATTTATTTTTTTTACTTCATTTCCATGTACATAATATGCTAGCTTTATTAATATATAAAGAGCGAAATTATTTGTTCCACTTAAAGTATAAGAACTTTGGTTTTTATGTTATTAGGAATTAATAAATAATATACATAAAAATTAAAAGGTAATTCTTTAGACTCTATAAAAAAGGGTTATTGCAAATACAAGATATATATGATAAATACATGTATAGAACTTTATAATTTAAGCTGTAATATAATGTTTTAAATTTGGTGAATATATAA